GCCTCAGGGATAGTTTGCAAAGTTTACCTTGCGAGAGCACGCCTGCAGTCTTTCGGATGCCCTGGCTGTTTCCATCAACTGCGCGGCACACCACCAAGGACATAAGCTCACGTAGCACGCCCGGTGTCCTGCAGCGGAAAGCATGCAACCATCTGTATCAGAGCAACAGCTATCGATAAGGCCAGAGGAACCGAAATTCGAAACTCTGCCTCCAGTGCAAAACGTCGCACTGGAGTCCTCGGCGACCCTCTCAGAGCCCAGCGCTCCGCGAACCCAAATTTTCAACTAGTGCACTACGGCCGCGAGGGTGGAGTGCAGCACTAGGTGATCCACTTCCCCCAGAACCCGAAAGCCCTAGACCCTACGCCCTTCAACCCTAAATCCCTAACACGTAAAGCCCTAGATCCTAAACCCCTAAACCCCTAACTAACCCCAGGGTTTAGGGTTTAAAGTTTAGGGTTTGGGTAACCGCCCTACCCTGGACTGCCGATGCTACGTCCAATCATTTACCTCCCGGCAACGAAGTCCCATCTTGCAAAGAGTTTTGTAGATAGTTCTCTAAACCCCTGTTGAAGATTAATGCAGATCATCCTCAGCTGCCAGTACAAGAGCCAGGACATGAGCTGTGATACTACTGTTGAAGATATAAATCCGGCATTACCTTAAGGACTCTAACTCTAAACTATGGGAATTATGGTACATTCCTTGTTATGGGAAATGCAGGATTTATATCATCAACCGTATTTCTGTCACCCTTCAAGTACAACTTTCGGAGCATGCCCTGGAGGGAAGAGGAGTACGAGTAAGAGGAGCGAGAGGAAGAGGAGCAAGAATAGGAGTAGGAGCAAGGTAGTCATAATAGAGGTGATTATGCTACTGCTGCTGTTGCTGCTGCTACTGCTGCTGCTACTGCTGCTACTGCTGCTGCTGCTGCTGCTACTACTACTACTACTACTACTACTACTACTCCTGCTGCTACTGCTACTACCACTACTACTACTACTACTACACTGCTGCTACTTTGTGCTGCTACTACTACTACTACTACTCATGATAATGACAATAGTAATGTCAAAGTTTGTTTATAACAGTTGCAATAATGGTAAGAGGGACAATATAATACTACCAATCAGAATATGATGGAAACATAAAATAACAGTAATACCCTTACTTGGCAAAAACAATCATGCTAAAAGTAAATATTGCAAATATAGCCTTAAAAGTGAGAATGATGACAGCCCTTTCTTGGCAGTCCTCCCTCTCGGCCAGACCAAAGGCTGGCAGTTGCTCAGAGAGCGTAGTGAGCACCACATCGACACTACTGGTGGTCTAGGAATTTAGGGCTTTAGGGGTTTAAGGTTAAGGGTTTAGGGTTTAAGTGTAGGTTTGCGGGTTCGGGGTTTGGGGCTTTGGCGTGGGGATTTAGGGCAAAGCCATGAGCCCTAATTGACCTTTGTTGCATAGAGCCCCTCTCCATAGACTCACTGGAGTATCTTTGCCGCCCGGCTTTCGGCATCATGTAGTGTAGTCTCTTTGCTACATGTTTCCAACCCCACATACACCCAAAAATGAAGCCCACTGCAAACTCCTTGCTTTCAAAACAACGGTTTAGCGCTAGCGATCAGCCGCCGGCCTGTTTCACCCCTGCACACACTTTTTTTCGCGCGAGTAGGAATCCAGAATGGCATTGTAGGGTGGAGCAAAGCGGGCCTGCAGTGTTATCTTACTGCTACTTCTACCACTACTGCTGCTGCCGCCGACGCTACTACTGCTGCAACTGGAGGTTCCCAGTTTTGATTGGAGATGCCTTGCAAAAGGCCAGCAGACGGGAATCCCGAAACCCTAAACCCGAAACCCTAAACCCTAAACCCTAAACCCTAACGAGTTTTCGGCACCGGTGGCTCGCTTTGGCTCAGAGTGTGAAGCTTCCAAGCGTCTCCGGGCGCCACGGCATTCTAGTTGCCGCTTGGATGGTTTAGGGTTTAGGGTTTAGGGTTCAGGGTTTAGGGTTTAGGTTTAGGTTTAGGGTTTAGGGTTTAGGGTTTAGGTTTAGGGTTTAGGGTTTAAATTTAGGGTTAGGGTGGAACAGTCAGAAAGATGTCACTCATGTTCACATCCTGCTTTATGGTCTGGTTTCGGGATAAGACGGATCTGTGGGTTCAACCTTAAGCCCTAAACCCTAAACCCTAAACCCCAAACCCTAAACCCGAAACCCTAAACCCTAAACCCTAAACCCCAAACCCTAACCAGCGGTTCCTCAACCGAGACTTCCTCCTGCATTGGCGGAGCAAGGCTCGGACCTGGCTTGCAGCTCGAGGCTTTCATTGGGCTCTGCGTGCTTGTCGCCTAACAAAAAGTTGTCTTCCCTTGTAGTCCGCCAAAAAAGTATGGTATGGTATAGTATAGTAGTAGAGGTTGTAATATAGTATAGCACAGTATAGTATAGTACAGTTAAAGTATACCCAACCCAAACCCTTTTCTATTGGCTCAGTCCCCTGTGTTGCTGAGAGCTGCCGAGCCCAGAGCGTGCTGACCTTCGACCTAAACCCTAGCCCCTAAACCACTAAACCCCCTGCAACCCCTAAGTCCCGAGTTTAGGGTTTCGGGCCTACACCGAGACCCTGAAATCCCTAAGCCCTAAAACCCCCCAAAACCCCTACACCCCCACAAAGCTCCCGCTAAAGCCCCCCTAACCCTCGCCCCGAAAGCCCCTCCCTTAAAACCCAAAACTCCTAAACCCCTAAACCCTAAAACCCTACACCCTAAAGCCCTAAACCCTAAAACCCAAAGCCCTAGCCCCTAAAACCATAAAGCTCGAAACCCTGAAACCCCAACACTTTAAACCCTGAAACCCTAAGCCCTCAAAAACCCACACAAAACCCACGGCCCTAGAGCTCAAGGCCATGGTGCTTGGGGAGCTTGGCTCGCGGATCACCGCCTCCTTCCGGAGGCTAAACCAGGCGCCGATTATCGCCGCTCGGTGCCATGGATTCTAGGGTTTTTTTGGTGGTTTAGGGTTTCAGGGTTTCGATTCTAGGGGTTTTTGGGGTTTAGGGTTTCAGGGCTGTTGGGGTTTAGGGTTCAGGGTTTTCAGGGTTTGCCGTTTTAAGGGTTTTTGGCTTAGCTTAGGTTTTTTGGGGCTGTTGGAGTTTAGGGTTCAGGGTTCGGTGTTTAGGAGTTTTGGCTTAGTTTAGGGTTTTAGGGCTGTTGGGGTTTGGGGTTCAGGGTTTTCGGTTTTAGGGGTTTTCGCTTAGTTTAGGTTTTTTAGGGCTGTTGGGGTTTGGGGTTCCGGGTTTCTGTTTTAGGGGTTTTGGCTTAGTTTAGGGTTTAAGATGTATGGTTTAGGGTTCCGGGTTTCGGCTTTAGGGTTTCTTTTGGCTTAGTTTAGGGTTTAAAGATGTAGGCTTTAGGGTTTCTGGAGCTCCGAAAGCTTTGTAAAAAGGCGACTAAATTCCATTGTGCTCGCAGAGTCGGTTCGGTAGCTGCGCATCAGCCGATTTGCCGATCAGCCGATCAGGGATGAGGATTCAGGGTTTAAGGTTCAGGGTTTCGGTTGTAGGGTCGGGGGCCCAGGGTAGGCTCATCGGCGCAGCACGGTTTGGTGCCCAAAGGCCACGCAGACTGCTAGCTAGCCCATGTTGTTCCTTAGTGTTCCAAGCTTTACTTGACAACAGAGCATCCGAAGCCCTGGTCTCATTCTCTACTGAGTTCTTGTGTTAGGGGATTTGTTTAAGTTACTGCAATTAGGAAACCCTATTATTTACTATAGATCCCTATTATGGTAACTTAAATTAAATCCCTTAACAAGGACCCAGTCTAGCCCTCCAGTTCTTTACATCTTCCTGAAGAACGGGCATTCAAGTGTCCAGGGATTGATACAATGGAAGGAGGGCCTTGTACTCTGTGCTCTCAGGTTTCGTTCTGCGTTAAACCCTAAACCCTACACCCTAAACCCTATAGGGTAGAGAGGTGATGATGAGGTCATCGCGGCTGGACCTGAGTTTTCCAGCGGGAGATCCCGCAGACATACATACAGGCAGAGTGTAGTATAGAAGCCGAAAGACCTCGGAATCCAAAAACCTACCGTTTTGGGGGTTCTACCCTCTAATTAAGGGGTCATGGTCAGAGTCATAACCTACTATTTTGTAGGGTTTGGGGTCACAGGAAATACTTACCTAGACTATTTCGGGGGGTTCCTGATTATCATTATGCTGTAAAGAAGCCCAAAACCCTATTCTAATCATTAAGGCCCCGACATTAAATCTCTGAGCCCGAATAAAAGGCCAAAGCTGGCCACCGAAAATCCCGAATCTCTATAAAGCTGGAGCCCAAAACCTTATTAGGGTTTAAGGCTTTAGGGGTTTAGGGTTTAGGGATGTTTAGGGTTTAGGGGCTTAGACCCTGAACCCGAAAGCCTAAAGCCTAAATTCTAGTTCAAGGATGATGATCTTCTCGACGAGGTCTTGAAGGACATCTGGCCGAGAGGTCAGGTGTGTGCGAAGCCCTCGCACAAGTGGCTTCTTATCAGGGTTTAGAGTTTAGCGTAAACTGCGGATAGTGCTGTTGGAATGCCCCTTTTTTCTAGCAGTCCCGTGGTTTGCCATCTACCCGGAACTGCCAGATGCCGAGGCGAGCTGCCTCCAATGCGGCCCCACCCCAGCTCAACTCCTAGACCCCTGAACCGATATCACGATGAACCCCCAAAACCCCAAACCCTAAGCCCCAAAACCCAAAGCCCCAAACCCGAAGCCCCAAACCCAAGGTGCTGAAAAGAAAACCCTAAGCCCAAAACCCTAAACCCTATGTAAACCCTATAGACCCTGGGCCCCTAAGTAGTTCCTTTTTATGGTTTATATTTAGAATCCTATAAGGTAAACCCAAAAAGGTACAACTTAGGGGCCTCTGGGTAGACCCTGGGACCCTAAACCCTAAACTCTATAGACCCTAAACCCTAAACCTTAAACCCGATAGACCCTGAACCCTAGACCCTAAACCTGAAGGAGATCGCTGCGGCGCTGCTGCATGCGGATGTCAACGTCCGCTATGTCTCAGAGCTGAGGAGAGCAGTCTTGGAGTTTGGGGGGAGTTTAGGTTTTTAGGAGTTTTAGGGGTTTTAGGGGTTTTAGGGTTTAGGGAGTCTTAGTGGTCAGGATGTAAGGTTATTTAGGATTTGAAGCGGGTTCGGGCTTGCGGCGAAAATTGATCAACATTGCGGCAAGTTGCCTCGTCCCTCAGTTGAAGTTCAAGGATGCACAGCCCAAGCATTACGTCTAGGTTTCTCGTGAGCGCAGGCTCTTGGCTTTGCGTTCTCGTTCCAAGTGTGCATTTGTCGAACTTATACCGAGACTTGAATGATCAATGATCTGGAAGAGAGGAGTAATGTCAAGAAGCGCGTGCTGCTGGAAAGCGATGCCAGCGGCGTTAACAAGCGGAAGCTCATCCAGAAGGTGCGTTGGGTGACGGGGCAGATTTTGCCAGCAGGACTAGGAGCGATCGTCATTGTGCCGACAGAAACATGCAGTGTCTTATCGTTGCGGTTTGCTGTGCAGATCTGTGCATGAAAGCAGCCGCTGCCATGTTGTCAGGCTGTGGTAGAAGAGCTTGTCCGCCTTGTGTCCACCGACAAGAAGCCATACAAGCTAGAGCATCTTGGCGAACGAGGGGTAGAGCATTTGCAGCGCCGAATGCCACATTCACACACTATACTATACTATCCTGTACCATACTATAATACAGTATAGTATACTATGCTATACTAGACCCTGCTATACTATGCCCTGCTGCACTATACTATACTATACTATACTATACTATACTATACTATACTATACTATACTATACTATACTATACTATACTATACTATACTATACTATACTATACTATGCTATACTATACTCTACTATGCTATACTATGCTACATTATACTATGCTATACCGTATTATGTAATACCGTATTGTATCATATTACATCCTATAGTACATCATGTTATGTCATATCACATTAGATCATATCGTCGCATATCAGTTCATATTGTATTAAACTATAGTATATGATATTACATGATATTATATCATAGTTCACTACAATCCAGTTCTAACATCTACTATCTTCGGAAGATGCATAGACTTATGGACTGCATCTTCATCGCGTCCCTTTCTCTCCGATCCGGCCCAGGAAAGGCAAAGTCAACATCATCATGTTCGTGGGATTGCAAGGCCGCGGGAAGACGACCACCCTACACCCTTAAACCCTACACCCCTAAACCCTAATCCCCTAGAAACCCCTAAACCATGACCGCGGCTCTGCTGATTGCAAGGCAGCGGGAAGACCACCACTTGCACCAAGTATGCCCACTACTACAACCGCAAAGGACAGTGGCCGGTTTTCGCCCAGTCCGTTTGTTGATGCTAGGTCCTGCACGAGACTTTGCAGTATCCTCTAAACCCTAAACCATAAACCCCTAAACCCTAAGCCCTAACCCTAAACCGCTAAGCCCCTAAACCCTAAACGCTAATCCCCTAAACCCTAAACTCCTAAACCCTAAACCGTGGCAGTATTCGAAGCCCATCCAAGCTTTCCCCGGTCTGCGACACGCGTAGTTTCAGACCCGAAGCAGGATCAAAGAGCTCTTTTGGTCGTACTCCACACCACGCAGCCCGTTTTAGGGCTTAGGGTTTATGGGGTTTAGGGCTTATAGGGTTGAGGGCTTAGGGCTTCTAGGGTCTATAGGGTTTAGGGTTACATGTGCCGTGACCTCTTCTCATGTAGCTCCCTGCCTCGAGGATGGAAGACAGCCTTGGTCTGCGCCGACACCTTCCGTGCCGGTGCCTTCGACCAGCTGAAGCAGAACGCCTCGAAGGCCCCGAAACCCTAAACCCCCTAAGCCCTAAACCCTAAACCCCGAAACCCTAAACCCTAAACCCCTAAACCCTAAGGAGGCAGAGTTTGTCCTAAGACTCCCGAAGTCGTGGTTTTGCAGAGTCTCAAGCCCTGCATTCTGTTTTGAGCTTCGACGCTTTGTTGGAGAGTTCGCCAGGTCAGAATACCTTTCTATGGTGACTACAACGAGACAGACCCGGTCAGAATCGCCGAAGAAGGCCAGCTGGCTGCGCCATACCCTAAACCCTAAAATGCATAGTGTCGCGGGTGGACACGACCACTAGTTAAATGAGGACTTCTTGTGAGTTTAGGGCTACCTTATGCAGGGATCGTTCTAGTAACCCTAAACCCTACTATCATAGCTTTAAAAACCTATCTTAGCCGGTCACAGCGAACAAGAGGCTGGCACGACATGGGTGCGCCTGTCTAGGCTGCTGACTCTGTCTTAAATGGAGTTTCCCAAAACAAGGGGTACCTTATTCTGGGGTCCTTAAAAATTAAGGATCCTACTATTAAGGGTGCTATATTAGGATCCCCTATTTTCGGAAATTCGGAAACCCACATATTATCATTGTGCTCGCAAAGTGGGTTTCCACACTGCGCATCAGCTGATCGGCTGATCGACTGGTTGGGTTTAGGGTTTACTCCGCCGTCTCTAGTCCCAGGGTCTCCATATATGCTACGATTATGGAATCAGGTCCAAAAAGACCATCCTTACTATGGTTTTAGGGATTTCATTGATTCCATAATTATTATGGTTTTAGGGAACTAATTGATTTAAATCCATAATTGTTCTGGGGGATCTAATTGATTCAACTCCATAACTGTATTCTGGTTTTAGGGATCTAACCGATTTAGTTCCATAATTGTGTTATGTATGCAGCCAGTGGGTGCACCCATGCGTGGATGTTGGCTTGCAGGATTTGCAGACTTTCTCCTTGCCAGGCGTGGAGCTTTTCAAGAAAGAGAAGTACGACCTCATCATAGTTGATACCTCCGGTCGCCACAAGCACTCCTGGCACTGTTGTCGTCAATTCTTCGGGCTTGCGGTGCCGAGAGGCATTTAGAACATGTCGACGCACCTTTACCCAGCCCCTAAACCCTAAACCAGGCAGGAGCAAGCATTGTTCGATGAGATGAAGCAGGTGGCGGAGGCTCCCTGCACTGAGCATCTAGCGTTAGTCTGATTTTAGGGTTTAGGGTTTGGGATTAGATGAGTCTGAGATGAGTCTGGTGTCATCTCGTCGCGATCCGGCGCTTCACAGTAGAATTTCAGCTAAGGTCCGCAAAATTCAATGTCACATGAGCTCGGAACCCTAAGCTCTAAACCCTAAAGCGATGCGAGGTAGTCCAGCCCAATGACACCATCTTCATCATGGACTCTCACATCGGTCATGGCCCCAGATTGCCGCCGCAGAACCGCCACTCCCGCCACACCACAGTTTGGGGTTTAGGGTTAAGGGGCGCCGCAGTCATACCCGTTTCGGACTCAGTATCTCGGAACCCAAACACGTGTCGTCTTAGCACCTGTGTGGGGCCCAGCTGGACGTTTGCATGTGGTAGCACCCTGTTCTGCACCGAGTCATCATTGCATCCTCTCATTGCATGATATCTTATACAATAACAAATCAAGTTGTAACAAAAAGGCTCATCTCAACTTAAACTATATAAAATACAGGAAGCTAAGTGATTACCAATACTATTTTGGGGCTCCCTTATTATAGCTATAGCAAAAAACACACCACAAAAACCTATTCTAACAATTAAGGCCCCTTATGTTAAACTATATGACGCTATATAACCCTAAACCCTAAACCCTATTCTAACAATTAAGGCCCCTTTATGTTAAACTATATATTTGGCTGTTCGTCTTCAGGTCAGGCCTGCTACGACCAGGCCAGGGCCTTCCGGGAGGTCGTGGACATTGGCAGCGACCGGGGGCCCAGTTACAGTAACGGTTTAGGGTTTAGGGTTTAGGGCCCAGTTTTCGACGGTTCAGCTATGGGGGTGATAGGGTTGAGGGTTTTGGGGTTTTGCGCCCTAATTAACCACCCCCCCCCCCCACTCCCCCCACCCAAAACCAAAACAAAAAAAACGAATCCTGAAACACATAAGCCCTAAACCCGAAGAAGACGGAGGGAGGGGCGTTCCCTGTCGACTTTAGGATTTGAACTCAAGTGCGATGGTCGAAGAGTTGGGGCGCAGATTTCCTGGTCATTCGTATGCTGGGACTTGATGCCTATCATCAGTATTGTTTTGTGATGAGATGATGATGGTGATGGTCATGATGATGGTAATTGTGATGGTGATGGTGGTGATGGTGATGATGATGGTGATGATGGTGACGACGACGGTTGTGATGATTGTGATGGTGATGGCGATGGTGGTGATGATAATGACGAGGACGACGATGGCGATCGTGGTTTTGGTGGGTGTGGATGATGATCAAGACGGTGAACATGAAGACGCTGCTGCAGTTGTTGTTGTTGATGATGCTGCTGATGATGACGGAGATGATGAGCTACCTGCTCCTTCTTGCAGCAGTAACATTCCTCTCACATCCCCGGTGCTCCAACTTTACCAAAGGCCTTAAGTCATTCTCCCGCTTCCTTTGTGCGCCGAAGGTCATCATCACGAAGCTCGATGGCCACGCCAAGGGTGGTGGCGCGCTGTCCGCCGTCTCCGCCACGCCAGAGCCCAAGAGATCCGAGGCATTGAAGCTCTTGGCATCAGAAGCCCTGAGCCCGAGAGCAATGGGCCCAGCATGTAAGAGAATGTTAACAGACTAGAACAGATTAGGGTGTAGTATAGTATAGCATAGTACAGTATAGTATAGTATAGTATAGTATAGTTTGGTATAATATATTATAGTATAGTATAGTTTAGTTTAGTATAGTACAGGAAAGTATAATATCATAGAAGTTAGCATGACATAACACAGCATAACAGTCTACCATACTCTAGTCTGCTCTACTCTACCCTACTCACCTACAGTACTCTTTCTCTCTACTCTACTAACACATACTATCCTATGTTCTGTATACTACATAGTATGTGCTATATACTATATCCTATACTATACACGATATATTTTAATATAGTCTAGTAGAATATAGTATAGCAGAATATATCACAACACATGTGCGGAGTCTCAGACTCACGGCCAAGGAATTCGCCCATCATCTTCCTGGGAACCGGGGAGCACTTCGATGAGCCGCTGGGCTGTTTTAGGGTTTAGGGTTTAGGGGTCCTTTTGGGGTATAGGGTTCCGTTGAAGGGGTCTATAAGGCTACTATAAGGAATCTTTCAGGGTTTAGGGTTTAGGGTATAGGGTTTAGGTATGCCGGCATTCTCTGAGATATGTGTGACGATTACGGAAATCCTGCAATGTTGCATTCGGTGATGGTCTAGCCACGGAGCCGTGGGGGAAATGATGCTTTCAGCTGTCTATGGTGTGTGGTAAGCTGGTCATGCAAGTTTCCTCTGTTTCTACCTTGCCCCTCAACCGGCTGCGCCCATTGGGGAAATAGGGTTCTCCCCGTAAGCCCGCAGAACATAAGAGAGAGAGAGAGAGAGAGAGTGCAAGAAAGACTGTAAGAGAGAGAGAGAGAGAGAGAGTGCAAGAAAGAATGCATTTATAAGCAGCAGGCACGGAGCAAGGGAAGGACGAGAAGAAAAGATATACTACAATATACCGTAAAGGAGACTAGATGAGGCTATACAATATTATACGATACAATATGATACTATACGATACCCTAAACCCTAAATCCCAAACATGAAATCGCAAATCCTAGACCCCAAACCCTATATCCGAAATCTCAAACCCTAAACCCTATGCTTCAGGTTCCAGCCCTTTGATGCTCAGAGCTTCGTCTCGCGACTTCTCGGTGCCAGCCCCAGTTTCCGGGTTTTCGCTTGCTTGGAGTAGAAGCCCTGCGATTACTTAGAGGATCATGGGACTTAGTAAGTAAGGTTATAACTACATGAATTGGGGTTATAGCTACATATAACCTTAGTTTCTCAGTCCCATGGTCCTTTAAGTAGGGTTTAGGGTTTGAGCAGTTGTCGTGGCCAGTGTGGGGATACCTTCGCAGTTTCACCGATGGGAGGTTCACTCCAGCAAGGGGGGCCCCTAAACCCTAAACCCCAAACCCCTAAACCCCGAAACCCGAAACCCTATGTAAAGAGAGTCTTCCGAGGAATAACCCTACATAGAGTGCGCCTTCCACCCTAAACCCTAAACCCCTAAACCCTAACCCCTAAAACCCTCAAGTCCCTAAACCCTAAAACCTAAAACCGTCAAACCCTTAAAGCCTCAAAGCCCTAAAACCCTAACCCCTAAAACCCTCAAAGCCCTAACTAACCCCTAAACTCTAAAACCGCAAACCCTAAAACCCCCAAACCCTAAACCCTAAACCCTAAAACCCTAACCCCCTTTTTTTTTGAAACCCCTCAACCCTAAATCCTAAAACCCTAACCCCTTTTTTTTGTTGAAACACCGAAACCCGAAACCCCTAAAACCCTAAACCCCGAGGCATGGGAGACCTGAAGGGCCTCTTCCAGACCATCACCGAGGCATCCCAGGGCTCGGCCTCCCTACGGCGCGGTTTAGGGTTTAGGGGTTTAGGGGTTTAGGGATTGAGGGTTTATGTTTTTAGGGGTTGAAGGGTTTAGGGTTCAGGGGTTTAGAGTTTAGGGTTTAGGGTCTCGGCTGATGATATAAATTCTGCATTATCTAATAAGGAATGTACCATACTTCTCATGGTTCAGAGTTCTTAAGGCCATGCAGGATTTGTATCATCAGCAGGTAGTGTGTGAGAAGAGAAATTACCGTAATGAGGTTCTACTATACTACTAGACCATACTAATAACTAAACTATGCTATACCATACAAAACTCTACTGTACTATACTACACTATATTTATACACATATAGACTGAGCTAAACTAAAAACTAAACTATACTATGCTATACACTATACCAGACACTAAACTATACTATACTATACTTGTATATGCTGTACCCCATTTGGGGGCGGTCTCCGTGTCTGTGTCTTTGGAAGAGGCCATGCCCTTGGACAAGCAGCCGGAGCTCCTGAACAAGATCTCGAAGGGAAGGCCCGGACCTTCTTCTGACTGGTTCTTCGTAAGGAATGGGGGAATGGCTTCCTTTAAGGGTCCTTTAAAAGGCTCTAAGGGATCTATAATAGGGTTTAGGATTTAGGGTTTGGGGGTTTAGGATTAAGGGTTTAGGGTAAGGAATGGGGGAATGGGTTTAGGGTTTAGGGTTGTGGGGTTTAGGATTAAGGGTTTAGGGTAAGGAACGGGGGAATGGGTTATTGGGACTACTATAGGGGACCTTATACGGGACTATCATACAGCAGAAGCCCAAAAATTGGAAACCCAATAGCCTCAATCCTTAAGAGCAATTTATAGGGAATTCCAGCACTAATTGTCCTTAATCAGGTTTCCAACTTTTAGGGGTTGACTATAGGGATCCATTCCCCCATTCCCTACTAAGAACCAGAGAGTCTTGGTAGCCTTTGGACTTGCTTACGGTTTAGGGCTGAGCTTTAAGGGTTTGCGGTTTGGGGCTTTAGGGTTAAGGGCTTTGGGGTTTAGGGCTTTAGGGTTCATAGGGGTTTAGGGTTCAGGGTATAGGGTTGAGGAGGTGAGGAACCTTAAACCCTAAACCCTAAACCCTGTTGCTGGGAGAAAGGGCTAGTGCACTTAAAAAAAACTTTAAACCCTAAACCCTAAACCTTGGCTCCGCGACTTCGCATGCCTCGTCAGGTTCTCGCTGCGAGATCTCTACGAGCAGCCCAGCCGGCTCTGATTGCCACCATAGAAGTGGGACTTATTTTGGGGTCCCTATAATAAGGATCCTACTATTTAGGGTACTATATTAGGGTCCTCTATTTTCGGAAACCCCCAAGTACGTAGAGACTCCAAAACCCCTTAATTAAGGACTATTCCTTAAATCATATCAGGGATCTTATGATAATTTCAGGTATATTCCTGAATTAAAGCGTTTTGGAGTCTCTGGGTAGCTGGAGTATAGATGTCCACGAACTGGATCCCTGCCCTGCTGCCAGGTTCCAGAACCTGCAGAAGTGTGGCTCTCGGACTTGCAGTTTGCCAGCTTGGAGATTTCTACTGTTGACGATATAAACCCTGCATTGCCTTAAGGATCCTAAACTATGGGAATTATATATAAATCCTGCATTACCTTATAAGGACCCTCAACTATGGGAATTATGGTATATTCCTTGTTATGGGTAATGCAAAATTATATATCTCATCAACCGTAGGAGTCCATGTCTGGGTTCATGTGCAGGAAGTATTTAGTTTAAGTTGCCACAATGAGGGAGCCCTACGTTATTTACTTCAGGTCCCTCTTGTGGTAGCTTAAAATTATGCTCCTTAAGCCTGAGCAAGAACCCAGATGTCGACGCCATGTGTCAGGATGGGCCCCATGAGCCAGATCATGCAGATGATCCCTGGCATGTCCAACCTGATGCCAGCAGGCCAGGGTCAGGGCAGGCTTCAACTGACTCCTCCCACCCCTGAAGCCTGAACCATAAACCCTAAACCCTATAATCCCTAAACCCTATAATCCCTAAACCCTAGGCCCTAAACCTTACTGTCGGTTCCCCTGAACGGCTCCCCCAAAAGACTCGACCCCCTTAGAGCCTCCTTCCTTGGGGTCCGCTTAAAAAAACGCCCCTCAAAATGGCCCCCGTCCCATGGCGAGGCGCAGAGAAAGAGGGCGTGAAGCGAATCAAGCGCTTCATGGTTGGAGCCTCGAGGAAGTCTCTGAGGAGCTCCAGAAACGATGAACTAAAATTTGAGCGTCTGTTCCTTAATTTCCAGCTGTTTATAATCCCCTTGGTGAAAATACTTGAAATAAAAATGTCCTCCTTCTATTATTCTTTTGGTTCGTATTGGTGTTGCTATTGGTATTAGGATTAGGATTACTATTAGGATTAGTATTAGTGTTGGTGCTAGTATCTGTATCAGTATTAGTATTAGCATGAGTAATATAGTATGAGTATCATTATGAGTAATAGTATTGGTATTCGTATCAGTGTTAGTATTAGTCTTCGTCTTAGCATTCGTATTCGTATGTTCGTATGAGTACTAGTATTGGTTAGTATTAAGTGCCAGTAACTGTTGGTACTAGCGCTAGTACTTGGGTTCAGTATTCAATGGTCTCTAGCCCTAAACCCTAAACCCTAAACCCTTAAGCCCCTAAACCCTAGTGTTAGAATTCGTGTTCGTATCAGCATCAGTATCGTTAGAGCAACCCAGCGACTCCCAGCCCCCCTTAGTACATGAATACTCCTTAAAGCATACTAGGGATCTTGTTATGTTTTAATGCAGGTTCCTTAAGGAGAGCCTTTTGGAGTCTCTGGGAAGTTCTGAAAGCATGGGGTCTGGCGCTTCTTTCCCGTGTTTCGGAGAAGCTGATGAGGTCATTATGGACAGCATGCGCGGTCCCCAGAAACAGGGTGGTTCTCTACATTAGGGTCCCTTTTCGGTTCCTGTTTATAGGGGTGCCGTAGTATATTTGGGACCTAAAAAGGGACCCTGGTTTAGAGAACGACCCAACAGCACCTTCTGCAGTGGGCAGGCTTCACTGAAGTCTCTAACTACATGCGATGCACAAGGAGTAGGTCGATCACTTCGCAGGTGTTCTCAAAGCCTGATGGAACCAAGGACAGATGCTGAGCTGGATTGCGACGTGCAGTTGAGACTTGACTGCAGATGATTTGAAAGGACTGGC